GGTCACCCGTCTTAGCGTCCATCTTTTATGTTCTCTTTTCCTTATCGACAAAATCATACCCTCCTTCCTCCAGCAAAGTGGCAGAAGTGGGGAGGGGGGGGTTGCAGCTGTGGCCCCCTGTAGCTTCCGGGGGAGACCCTGAAGTTGAGCTATGAGTCACCCTAACTTAAGACATTCCGTGGAACGCTGAGAACGCTGACAGAAAGAGAGAGGCACCCAATCCACTTTTATGGGCAGAGACTAAAATCGTCAGGTGCTGAGGGTAAAGATGAGATAAAGAGCAAATACAAATGTGGGTAGCAGATCACCAGGAACCCTGTCTGTGTGTAGGTTGTGCTCACTCATGATTTGGAGGGACCGGTGAGGAGTTACATGTTCCCTGGGAAGAAAGTACATTTCCTGCTCCCCCCAACCCCGCCCCCCAGCTCCCCCAGTTGGCATTTGGAGCAGCTTCTCCTTCCATCTCCCTTTAGTCCCTTGTGCTTAAATCATCATGGAGGTGACCACAGGAGAGCTAGGCCATGTAAAAAGGAAGTTGTTTAAAAAAAAGAATTAAAAAACACCAACACAGCATGATGATGTTTGCATTCCGTTTATAGCCTTACTTGCAAAGCATCTTTAAACGTTTAATTTCATTTTCTCCCAGGAAAGTTGCAACCCCTAGAGTCAGTGGTGTATGTCTCTCACTTAGATCAGAGCCTGGAGATTGAAGTTTTGAGATGGCTTCCCACAGCCAATGGCATTGACTTGTGATCACGCTGGAAAGATTCAGGATGGAGACTTGTGGGGTTTTCCCCCAATTAATATTCTCAGCGCCCCCCCCCCACTCCTTTTAGGTATTTATTTAATACCCTAACCCAGTAATTATCTGGACTAAACTTACACCACGATTTCAAACCGTGTTTGACTTTAAGAGTTGTTAACTCATTAGATCTGATGCAGCCCAGGTCAGAAGAGGGAATGCCCACAAATGAACTACTGCTTCTCAGGAGAGAGGGGCTTATCCGAGAGCCGATTCCTTCAGGGGCCCAGACGCCCTGGAGAACCTCTGAGCCTTTATTTTTAAAAACGGAAACCCCTGCACATCCCTCGTGGCCTTGGTGGCTCTTTTCTGGTTCTTTTCGATCTAAAACGGGAATAAGCACCTGTGGGAGCTCTAGTCATCCCCACTCTCCCATAAGATATTTGTAGTATGTATTTGGTCCCATTAGCAAAACACTGGGAAAAGCCTAAATGTCCTTTACATTGGAATTTCTTAAAGCCATCGCGGTATTCTTTACATCCCTTAACATCATTAAGTAGATACATTTCTTGCTGGGATAGAAAAAATGTCCACACTACATTCTTAAGTGAAAAAGTGGGTTATATAAACAGTAGACAGAGTAGGACCCTGTTCTTACCTAAAGAAGCAAATAAGCAATGACAAAACTATGTATATATGAGAAGCCCTACGCGTGAAATCGCGTAGCCCCACCCAACCGCACACGCAGCCTCCTGGTGATCCATGACGGTGTCATGACCAAGGGGTTTTTATAATAGAGATAGCAGAACAGTCCAGAAGAAAAATTGTGTGTGTTTTTTTTATTATTGGTTGGAATTTAGTTAAATTTTACATGATGTATTTTTGTTTTATCTCCATTTTTTGTAAGGATGTGTTACTTTTATACTTAAAGAAAACAATGCTCTTTGCATTTTAGGGGGAAATTCTAAAGTGTAAAGATAATATCTGAGAGATCATCATGTCGATTAGAGTGTAGATAGAACAGCTTCATATACAGACCAAGTGGACCCGGGCACAACATCTGGTTCTCGCAACGCAGGGAGACGCTGACCGCCTGACCCCTAACCTCAGAGTCAGCTGACCACCAGAGCCCCTCCAGCAGCACAGGTCCCAACTCAGACGCACCCAGCATCATGACTCTGAGACACACTAGAGAGTACACAGCTGTATGAAATTCTAGGAAAGGCAGACCTCCTACTGGCTGAAAGCACATCAGTGGTTGCCTGAGGAGGAAGGGGAGGGATTGACCACAAAGGTCAACTTTCCAGGGAACTTTCTGGCAGATGGAATGGTCTGTATCTTGGTGATGATTATGTGATCGATTACCTGCCAGACCCCCACGCTGTGTGCTGAGGGTGGACTGTTTTGTGAGGGTGAGTTATCTCCCAGTAAAGCTGGTTTGAAGGGAGCAGCCAGCTTCGCTTGATGAGCTGGAGCTCTTTCTATGTCTGAAGAAGCCAGGGGCCCTGAGAGAATCCGCTCTGGGAAGATATCAAGGCCCAGGCGTGCCCTTTAGGAAAACTAAGGAAACCAAAGTTACACTTTAGAGCACATGGCGTTCAAGTCTAAGAATAAACCCAATTATGTCTCTTTAATTCTGTAATGGGTTTAATTAACTTAATTGCCCCTATTTCTAATACAGGTGAACTGTGGTTAACATTTTGAGGCGTATCTTCCATACTTTTTTTTTCTAACTTCATTATTATGTTAAGTTCTATATTGCAATTTCCTTCCACCTTGGAGACCTCTCCTCTTTCAAACTGAAGAGAGCCACGAAACAAAGCTGACGGGGAGAAAGCCACTTTTCAGTCTTTCTGGCAGGGCAGGGCTGGTGCAGAGCAAGTTCTTGCCTTCCAAGGAGGATGCCTCTCTCAGCTCACTGGCCTGCTTTCTCCTGCATCGTCTTGCACCCCACCTGGGGCAGGCTGCTTTGCCCTCCTTGAGAGTCACTCTTTTCAGTCCAAAGTATCTCTGACATCATTTCTGGAGACCACAGTTGCCTGCTGCCATCTACTGCAGCTTTGGCTGTTCGGGCCTTCCAGGGGCAGAATAAGGAGCCAGCTGTGGCGCTGGCCGGTGTGGCTCAGTTGGTTGGGCACCATCCCAGGTACCAGTGCGTTGCCAGTTAGATTTCTTGTCAGGACACATGCTCAGATTGCGGCTTGATCATACTTTGTAGGGGTTGTGCAGGAGGAGCTGATCGATGTGTCACTCATGTCAATGTTCCCCTCTCTCTCTCCCTCTCCCTTTCTCTCTATAAAAATCAAAAAACCTTTTTAATATTTTTTAATTGATTTCAGAGAGGGAGGGAGAGATAGAAACATCAATAATGAGAGAGACTCATTGATTGTCTGCCTCCTGCACACCCCCTACTGGGGATTGAGCTGAAACCTGGACATGTGCCCCGACCATAATGGAACCCTGGACCCTTCAGTCTGCAGGCCAGTGCTCTCTCCAGTGAACCAAACTGGCTAAAGCTAAAAATAACATCTTAAAAAAAAAAAAAAGCCAGCTGTGGTTGGAGCTGCCCCGGGGAAGATAGCTTCACAGTGGGCGTCTCCGAGTGCGAGACCGCATCTCAGAATGGTAACGCGCCCTTCTTTTGCAGCCTGCTGCCAAATGCTGGAGGTTCTCCTGAACTTGCTGATCCTGGTCTGCAGCTCTGTGTCTTACAATTCCACGGGGGGCTACACGGGCATCGCCAGCCTGGGGGGCATTTACTATTACCAGTTTGGAGGGGCTTACAGTGGTTTCGATGGCGCTGACGGGGAGAAAGCGCAGCAGCTGGACATCCAGTTCTACCAGCTCAAGCTGCCCACGGTCACGGCAGCAATGGCCTACAGCGGAGCCCTCATGGCCTTCTGCTGCTTCCTCATCGCCTTGGGCGTCCTGCGGGTCCCGTGGCATTGCCCCCTGTGGCTGCTGATCGAAGGCTCGCTGGACATGCTCATCGCCGGGGCATACGTGCCCGTTCTGTACTTTTACTTCCACGCGCTATTGGCCGCCTACGCCTCCCCCGTGTGCAAGGAGCGGGAGGCGCTGTACGAGAGCAAAGGCTACCGCGGCTTCAGCTGCACGTTGCATGGGGGAGATATAGGCGCTGGCATCTTTGCTGCCCTGGGCATTGGGGTCTTTGCCATGGGGGCCGTGCTGGCCTTCAGGGGTTACCGCAAGGTCAGGAAGCTCAAGGAGAAGCCTGCAGAAATGTTAGGGTTTTAGGCTTTTTAAAACGTTCTGCCAAACGTAAGTGATGTAAGTTCCTCTGAATCTATGGGACTATGTTGCGGAACTTGCCAAGGCTTGACAAGTAACAGGCCAGCTCTGGGATGCTGGGTGCAGCCCGGGTTGCGCGGACTGTCGTTCTCTGACATCATAAGCCTCGTTCAGTCCTCTGTTGGTGAGGGACTAACCAAAATTCTTTTTAAAACAAAAACTGGAGCCCTAGACCCACCAGGAAAGGCTTGTGCTGCAGCAACGTGCACTTCTTGATTAATAAAGGGAAATGACGAGTGAATTTAAAGAACCTTGTCTTCAGAGTTCAAGAAAAGCCACATAGACACAAGACATCTCCGCCTGAACTTTTCTAGGCATGGCTGTCTTAAGCAGATCAGCCCCTGTATTTTCCACGAGGAACTCCGCAGTCCTTCACTTCCTTCATGCCCTGGGTGCAGGGTTGGAATTGCTGGGAGACTCCTGTAAAATTTAAGTTGGAGGTAGGCGTGGGCTGAGGAAACAGGAATCAGATTAATTTGCTGCAAAGAAGCTATTCTAAAAGGCCCCTTACCATGGCTTTGAAAGCTCAATAAGTGTTTTGTACCTCTTACAAGTGTACCATTGTATGAAGACTAAAACCCGGCGTCTGGAATTCAGGGTCCATGCAGAATTAAAGAATGTCAACTTTTTTCTCAAAAGAAGAATGCTACTTTTGGCCAGACGACTTCATGGGTTCTTATTACATGTTAAATTGTGACTTATAGTACATTACAATATATTCTTGGTACAACTGAATGTTATTTGCTTTATTTGAGTTTAATAAAATTCCAAAGAAAATTTTAATTTAGAGGTGATGGTTCTCTTTATAATACATTTAGAATATTCCCTTGAATACAGACAACATCACATTTAAGAGGTGAGTTCCATTTAGGTTTAGAAAAGGAAATAAGCATATCTATATGCTTAGAAAATTTATTGGAGAATACACAAGACAGCATGAGCAACATTTGCTCCTGGAGAAAAGGAAATGTAAAAATTGTTTTCATTTACTGCATGGCTTAGATAAATAAATACTTGACCTGCTCTCCTCCGTGTGCTCACATTTGCAGTGCAGAGGCAGACGTGGGTATATAATTAGGCACCAAGGCAGCCTCCGTGAGAAAGCCACTACTTACAATAAAAATCTCACATTCAGAGTCTCCACTTCCCTCTACAGAGCCCTCTGCTGTCCTAGCGCCGTGTTCCGTCTCACCAGAGACAACTGCTGGCTCTGCTCACCTGTTTCTTTCCTCCTGGCATCTGTGTCCTGCACTAACAGCACTGGGACTACCTGGGCCTGTCTGATCCTATAGCTAAGCCAGGTCGCCTGGCTGGAACTGTGACAGTAGTCAGTGGCCATATGCCTTCAGCAGATTGTTGCCGTCAGTGGGTTGGTTGACAAGAGGTAGATTTGTTCCGTTTCGGCCTCGCAGATGTTTGCTGCATGGGTCACGAGTCCACTGTTTGAACAGACTCTGTCCCAGAAGGAAACATTCAGGTTCCCACATCTTGTAGTAAGACAGGAGTCCTGTTTCTCCACAGGGGGTGAGGTATTGCCATGTATACGTAAGGAACACCAAGGCAGAGACAAGGGGAGGGGAAGTCACTCCCCGGGAATTCAGCTGGTGTCTGGGTCAGTTCACACGCTCTGCTGGAGGGAGAGTGGCCAGTAGCTTCAGTGTCGGGGTGGAGGGTGGGCAATTCTGACCTGATGTTAACCTCAGATTTAAATGAGAGGAATGTAGCTTCTTAACACATCGCGGACTAGTCGTCTTATTGCTAGCTTTACCCAGTGGCCAGATAAGTTCCTATTGAACGAGTACAAAAAACGTTTTACATAAATGTTAAAGGCACGCTTCAAAATGAAATACCCATTGCATTTGGAAGTTATTGATTACATGTTCTTACAAGCTACGATCATTTTCAAGTATGATCCTTTGTAAAACACTGTGTAATGTGAAGCGAGAATTCTCGTGACCCGTCCGCTAACTGTCAGGGCCCTTGAATGCTGTGTCCCGTGAACCTCCTAGGAATTTGTGTAGGCCCGGCAGGAGATAGGATCAGCAAGCCCAGTAGCTGTTGCCTAAGTACGTTAGAGATACTGGTTCTTAGTCACGTGGTTCAGAAACGGCGTGGTATGCCTAGCGGATCAGAGGGTTTTCCTGACTTTTGAGAAGCCACGCTTCTCATACATTTATCCTGTTCCTAAACCTCTAAGCCCCTGCCACTTCATAAACGTTACTGAGCAGCATCACCACCCGCTTGTAGAACATTTTGTGATTCTCCAAGTATTTTCATGTGCTTGCTTTCACGTGGGAGGACAGGCAGGCATTACTGCATTGCTCCGGTGAAGTGTCTGGGGCTTAGAGACGGTGACAGGCCAAGCTCACAGGCGGTCAAGAGCAGGGACGTGAACCTGGCGTCCCCACCCCAGGTCCACATGCTCTTCTCGTAGTTCGATGTCTGAACCCTGGGAGAATGGCAGGAGACCTGCCAGCAGGATGCCATGAGGAGCCCGGGGCTTCTGTCAGTTGCACATGAGAGCTGACCTCTGACAAGAAGACATTCGTCTCCTTTCACCTGCTGGCACCTGCTGTCTCATGGCACGCATAGGTCCTTCAACTTCTAAGAAGCCCCCAAGGAAACAGGGTGTCCCTCAGTAAGATCCTGCAGAGACTGGTATATCCACCCAGTGGGGTTGGAGGCCACACAGCGAGGAAGGTGGACTCTGTAGGAGCTGATCTGAAAACCTCTCTGGGAAGAATAAATGAAGAAAAAGCAAGATGCAGAATAGATGGGGCGCGCGTCCGTGTGAAAGCCAGGGAAGGGGGATGGGAGGCTGGTTTGAGTGCGTTTTTATTTGCATGAGGGAACGCTGTGAGTTATATCAGAAAATCATGAAGGTGACTGGGGGTAGAGAACAGAGTGGACAGGGACACAAGTGATTTTTCTCAGTTTATATCTTCTTGCATCATTTTGATCTTTAAAAAAATACATTTTTATTGACGTTAGAGAGGAAGGGAGAGGGAGAGAGAGATAGAAACATCAATGATGAGAGAGAATCATTGATCGGCTGCCTTCTGCACACTACCCACTGGGGATCGAGCGCGAAACCTGGGCATGTGCCCTTGATTAGAATCGAACCCGGGACCCATCAGTCCACAGTCCACAGGCTGACGCTCTATCCACTGAGCCAAACCAGTGAGGGCATCTTTAAAAAAAACCTTAAAACGTGAAATAAATATAGATTCATAAAACACTGCTGTCCTGGCTGGTTTTCTCAGTGGTTAGAGTGTTGGGCTGCCGACAGAAGGGTCTTGGGTTCGATTCCCAGTCAAGGGCACTGACCTGGGTTGCAGGTTCGATAACCTGGCCCCAGTTGGGGCACATGTGGGAGGCAATCATTGTGTCTGTCTCACATCGATGTTTCTCTCTCTCCCCCTCCCCATTCCACTCTCTCTAAAAATCAATAGAGAAAATATTTTCTAGTGAGATAAACAAAACAAAAACAAATTGCAAAAAATAGTAGAGATCCTGTGTACCCTATTCCCAGTTTTCTCCAATGGAAACATCTTGCATAACTATCGTATAATATCACAACTCTACAAAGCTTAGATGTCACCATTTTACATGCACTCATGTCTTTGTGTGTAGTCCCATGCAGTTTTATCACGTGTAGATCCGTGTGGCCACCATCATCATAGAACTGTTCCCTCACCCCTTGTGTTCCCCCCTAATAGTCACACGCATGCCCTCTCCCCTCCCCACTCCCACTCATCCCCGTGCCCCAACAACCACAGCTGTGTTGTTCTCCATCTCTATCTTTTCGTCATTTTGAGACTGTTACATAAATGGCATCGTACAGTACGTAACCTTTTGAGACTGGCTTTTCCCCCCACGCTGCCCCCTGCCCCAGCTCATCATAATTCTCTTGAGACCCATCCACTTTGTTGCCTGTATGAAGTTTGTTTCTTTTTACTGTTGATTATTCCTTGGTATGGGTGTGGCAGATTGTGTAACCATTCGCCCACTGAAGGGCATTTGGGTTGTTTCGGATATTTGGCTACTACAAATAAAGCTACTGTGCACATCCCTGTGCAGTTTTTGTGTAGCCCTGTTTTCATTTCTTTAGGATAAGAATCCAGGAGTACAGTTCCAGGGTCACATGGTAAGTGTAGGTTTTTGTTTTTTTTGTAAGCTGCCAAAAAAATTTTTAGGGTGACATTTTGCTTATTCAAACATGTGAATATTGGAAAACAACCCAAGGCTGTTCATGTTGCATCTGACCATGTCCTTAAAGTCACGTCACAGGACTTCTCTGGTCTGACCTAGAGAGGTTTCCTGGGTGCGTGATGTTCGTGTTAAATCCCGACTCTCTCCTCCTAGGTGTGGTGCAGATAGTGGAGGTGATACTGAATGGGATGGTTCTCATGTGTATCGTGGCTTCCTACTTTGTCCTGGCTGGATTCAGCGCCAGCTTTGCCAGTGGTGGCGGCTTCGGGAACAACTATTACTCACCGTTTGAGGGCACGGAGCTGGAGCAGGTCCGGCAGCTGGACCAGCAGTACACAGTCCTCCGGGCGCCTCTCATCTACGGCGGCGTGGCGGTGTCCCTGGGGCTGGGTGTCCTCACCATGGGTGTGTTACTCCAAGGAGCCAAGAGTCTCACCAAACTGCCAAGGAAGTGGCTCGTCCTGGAGGCCGTCTTCAGCCTCCTGGCCGCAGTGGGCTACTGCGCGGGCATCGGCGTTTTCCTCCACGTAGCCCTGCGGATCAATGCCACAGACACTTGCAAGAGAAGAGAGAGGCTCTATGCCCGCAAAGGCCTCACCTGGATGAACTGCCAGCTGGCAGGCACTGATGGGGCAGCAGCCACCTTTGCTTGTCTCCTGGTGATAATGTACGGAGTCAGCGTGGTGCTGGCCCTCCGGAGCTACCGAGAACAGAAGCTCTACAGGGACAGCCAAGAGCAGCACAGAAACTACAGGGAGGGACCGGAGTACCTGTGGTCCGGAACACTCTGAGGTCTTCTTCTCAGAACCTCAATGTCAGCTCGCCTGCCTGGTTCCTCTCAGAAAGGAGTCCTTTAAAATCGCACAGTTGACAGCTGGTGTTTTCACATACAGGATTTTATAAATGCTCGCTTTGGTACCGACGCAAAGCTAGATGGCCATCTCATTTTTCTGTCAGGGAGCTTTTCAAGCTCAAAGCTTGGAAAAAAAATCTCCCCCACCTTTGCTACAAAGAACATCAGAAGTTTGGATATGCACTTCTGGTCTGGCTCCCGCACCAAATGGTAAGGTGATGATGATGGCTAAGTAGCCAGAGAAATCCTGGAAGTTGAGAACTACACATCAGGGGTATAGTAGGCCCGGCGTTATAGTAGGAGTATCTCACCCGTCTCAATTATTGAGATTCACCAAAAGAAACATGCCATACCCCCTTCTGTGTGGTCCCAGGAGAATGCTTTTAAAGCCGTTGTGTGACTGAATTCTAAAGAGTCATCCGACCCTCTGCTAGAGGGAAACTGTTCTGCCCACAGGACAGTGTACCGACTGCCTGGATCCCAAGGAGTGAGATGGGAGGCTGGGTTTCTGACACATCAAGAGAGATGCTTGTAGCATGCATGTTCCTCCTTGAGATTCCTGTATTAGAGCTGAGAGAAAATGTCTTGGGTTTTATTGCCACCATTCCAAGTTAGTTTCTTTTTGTTGCAAGTCATTCAACTGGAATTCAGCCTTCCTGAAATATTTTTCTGAAATATGGGGCTCCCATAAGTCATACACTTCTCGCCCGGCCAGGATGACTTAGTGGTTGAGCCTCGACCTATGGACCAGGAGGTCACGGCTCGATTCCCGGTCAGGGCATATGCCTGGGTTGAGGGCACGATCCCCAAGAAGGGGCGTGCAGGAGGCAGCCGAATGATGATTCTTTCTCATTGATGTTTCTATCCCTCTCTCTGAAACCAATTAAAACATTTTTTTAAAAGTCATAAACTTCTTAAACGTGTTATTTAACTATTTCAAAGATCAAGTTAATTTTACTAGACTATAAAGCAGTGATGGCGAACCCATGACACACGTGTCAGAGGTGACACGCGAACTCATTTTTTTGGTTGATTTTTCTTTGTTAAGAGGCATTTAAATATATAAAATAAATATTAAAAATATAAATCTTTGTTTTACTATGGTTGCAAATATCAAAAAGTTTCTATATCTGACACGGCACCAGAGTTAAGTTAGGGTTTTTCAAAATGCTGACACACCGAGCTCAAAAGGTTCGCCATCACTGCTATAAAGGGTTTTTTAACGACTTCAAAGATCAAGTAGTTAATTTTACTAGAGGGTTATAGGAGGCCTCTTCATTGCTGCTTTCCCTGACAGTGTCTACAGAGTAGATCTTCAAAGGTAGATTATAACCTCTCATGACCCTGAACTGTTTTCATAGTGCAACAGATCATGAACACTGAATCTTAAAAATAAAGTCCTTTCAATAATTTTAACCTAAAGTTTTATAACTGTTCTTATACTTTACATCTCAGATTTTCAGCTCATGTCAGATACAACTGCAAATATATGTTATATAAAGTATAGGGGGTTTTTCCCTAGTTTTCCTCTTGCTTTTCAATCACTATTTTTTTCAAATAATTTTTTATGGTCACATTATAAACAAGATCAAACTATTAATAAATTCAAACCAAATTTTTAGAAATTTCTGGGAACAGCAATTTTGACATTATTTATACAGAAAGAAACCAGCAAACTTAATCCTGTTTCAGCATCTACCAAAATGACTTAGAAAATTAAGTCAAAGCCATGTTCCTCTAACATGTTTTCCCACCCACCCGTTTGCTGACTCTCCTCCCTATAACACAGTGCCTTTCCTCGCTCCTCTCAAATTCTCTCAATAGCTAATTCTTACAGAAACTATCCCAGCAAAGGATCAAAACAGAACCTCTTCCAGAAATGGGAGATTATCTAGATCAGCGGTTCTCAACCTGTGGGTCACAACCCCTTTGGGGGTCAAACAACCCTTTCACAGGGGTCGCCTAAATATATCCTGCATATCAGATACTTACATGACGATTCATAACAGTAGCAAAATTATAGTTATGAAGTAGCAACGAAAATAATTTTATGGTTGGGGGTCACCACAACATGAGGAACTGTATTATAGGGTCGTGGCATTAGGAAGGTTCGACCCACAGGTTGAGAACTGCTGGCCTAGAGGAAAACAATCAACTGGAAGTCTACATTGTGAGGTTAAAATACAAACATTTGTGCCACAAAGAGGCGCTTCCACTCTGTCATCCACTCTGTCACCCTCAGCCCCACAGTTTTCGCAGAGCAGTGAAAAGTTTAACCACAGCAAAAATCGGCCCATCCCCCAAAAGAATAACCATACACACTCTTCTCCCCTAGCACGTATTCCCAGGTTCCCTAAACCATGTCCCGTGTCTGAGTTGTGCTTGATAAAATGAGGACTTGGGCCTGACACCAACACTGTGTCTAGTCTAGGCCCAGCTATAACACTGCTCCCAAGATTCAACTCCTCTCGAGGGATTGGAGCCCCATCGTTCACTGTGATCACAACACCCCACGTCTGCAGTTTCCAACCACAGCTTATTTCCTACCACTTGGAGGAGGCAGGTCAAGGTTTATCATTCACATTTTAAATGAGGAGACCAAAGTTCAAGGTTAAGTGGTTTACCCAGTAGCTAACATTTTGCTGACTGCTCATTGTGCCAGATGCACTATTGAGCTAAGGTAGCATTTTGAATCATCTCATTTAAGGTCACAACTTGAGAGCTACGATTTCCATTTAACAAGAGGGGGTGGGGAAGGGGGGCTTTGGAGAGGTTAACTTATCTAAATTCAAACCTTCTAAATAGCAGAGGCAAAACTCGGGACCAATGACTCACACACTGGAACGTGTTGTGACTAATGTACTCGCGTGGCCTTCGGTGTACTGGGTGGGAATTGATATCACAGGAAGCAGAGAACACACTCAGAAAATTTCGCTTCTGCCACGTGGAATAGTGAGGTGTGCGTCTGATGGAACTGAGGTATTGAAGTAGATGATGGTGGTGGTGGCTGAACCCAGTGCACTCAAGGTGCTCAATGAATAGTTGGTGAACCAACTTTTCAAAATGTTTGCTCTGCTAATGAGAAGGAAACTGAAGAAGGACTTCAACTTGGACTTCATCTGGAGCGAGAGGTAGCTAATCTTGCTTGAAGTCTAGAGATTTGGGAGATGTCAATGGGGGTAGAAGAGAGGAACAATTTAGAGGCTTACCTAGATTGTAAGTATTTTATGGGCCATAACCTACCAGTTATGTCTGAAGTTCTAATACCTAAGCCATTATTACACTATACCAAACATGATGGCCAGATTACCCACTTAGCTCCTCTATCACCATCAGCTCTGATTTAAGAGGAGCTGTGGATTGTTTACAATTGAGTTTCCTCTAGTCAGCTGATCACCTGCATGTAAATAAGGACCATGTTTCCTGTCTTTGGGATTTTTTTTAAAAAAACATATAAGCCAAGTCAGAATATAATGTTTCTTAGCATAAAAAGATCTTTATTGCTATTTCAGCTTAAAAGATGATCAAAAATATTTATTCTGCCCTTAACTCATAGCTTCATAGAGTGCCATGGAATGTAGTTTCATTTGTTATCTTCCCTTAATGCAAGAAGAAGCAGAAAAATTCTAATGGTGTTTGGGTAAGAAACTAATTCTACATACAAGTTAGAGAAAATTACAGTTGCATGCTAAAATAAAGTATTTATAAAATAATAGGTATTTCATTTTAAAACAAAGCCATGAAAAAAGATATTCCATTTTATTTTATTTATTATTGTTGTTATTGTTATTTTTTACAAATAATAGATTTGCTGCAACATGCTCTGGCTCATATTATTGAATTAAAAAATTTAACACATTTCAAAAATATCAAAAATACACTATAATGAGTCTTAGGACTACAATACGACGATGATTGCACAAAACCGTAAGATAGGAACTCACTGTTTGGGTGACGTCCATTGGCAACAGTGAGAGAAAACCCATAGCGTCTGGGAGAAGTGCATGAAATTAGAGTACAGGGAGCTTATGTGTGATTTGAATGATCACCAAATGAGGGAAACAGAGCAGGATTTACTGTAGCTGCTTTTCTCAATCTAGGAAGTGCTTACCCAGCTATGGGGCAAAAGTCACTACCTGGAGAGAAAGATTAACTTGCCTCCATGATTGGGGAATCTAAAAGGCCCCACCCAGAGGGAAGTAAAAAGTGACACAGGACAGTTCTATTGTGATGCTGCAGACATCACTGAATGGCTTGGAGACTGTTTAATAATTGGTACACTTATTGATAACAGCCAAGTGCTCCCTTATGGAGGTCTCTTCATTAATAATTATTGAGTAGAGAGAGAAGGTGAGCCTGTGGCTTCCAAGTACCTGCTTTTGCTGAAGGTCTACATGGGAAGAAGAGCATCACATGATATTCAGTAGATCAGCCAAACCTAACTAACTGGCTCCATCTCCTGAAAAATAGCACTCGCTACAAACAATTAGAATAGCACCCAATGATTACCACGCTGCTCGTGTTGGCTCTTCTACACACCAGGAAGAGGAACTCACAAATGTATTGCACACACACTCACACTCACAGTAGTATAATAAAACCTTCACTTGCATTAGGAGTGGTAATTCAATGACTCTATGGTAGCACGGTAGCTCTGATATACCAGCATTCAAATGTTCACATATATTCCCGATTCATGTGGATAAAAGGAAGAATACCATGGCTGCCAACACGCGTGAATTTTTCTTTCTTCCATAGGACTGCTGAACTGCTCCCATCAGCAGGAGTGGTGTTATTTTCAGAAATTCTCTTAAACTTTTCTATTAAATGGGAGGTACACACGGAAACCTGAGAATCATGCAGAGGCCAGGATCTCTGGACTAGAGATCAATGGTTCTCTGCCCACCTGGGGAACACATCCTCTGGGTAAAGTCCTAGGAAGTAGGTTACATTCACCTGGAGACAGATTACTGTCTTTCACCACCTGACAGTCTAATCGGTTCACACAATGACTGCAAACGATCTCACAGGTCAGAAGATTCTGTATATTTTTGGTAATGGGCTATGGCCTTTTTACCCTCTGTGTTAATACAGAGCAATTATAGAGAAAAATGAACTAAAGAAAGTTACAAAAAAGAATAAATAGTTTTGGTATAGCCTATATTAAAGATATCCAACACAACTTAGTATTTCCTGAAAATAAATCTACTACACAGAACATCTGGAACTTTGGAGTTCTTCTGACTGAAATATATTTAACTTCTGGAAAAGCCATTTCAGAAGTGGGTTTCGTGATGGTTCCATTAAGGGTGGGTAACAAAGAGAAGACAAGAAGAAGGTTCACAGATAAAGGACAATTTTTAAGAGACTATACTATTAAAGTGGTATATTCCCAAAACAACTTTCTCTTCTAGACAACATCACTATTCTATAACTCAGAGCTTCTGCTGTCTGGGTAGAAAGATGTTTTACATCACCCATCACTATTATCTTGGGTGTTTCCTTCATTTTCATTTTCCCTTCACTTTATTTTTTCATTTTCCTATATAAAAATAAGGCAGCAACACACTTGTTCCCATCTTTCTAAGAGCACCTAAACTTTGTATGAACTACTATGTTCCCCACTTCACATCAAGACCTGAGTTCTAAAATTCTGCAGTAGCTGACCAGTAGTTTGACACAGGGAAGTCAAGTATTCCTGAAAATTTGGGGACCCAAATTCAGATTCTTGAGGGGTTGAACTTAGTCACTGAAGTGGTATGGAATCCCCAAGAGTGTATGTACCCCACCAA